TACCTTAATAAGGCTGAACCGGTCACTTCACGCCTGTTATATGTAGTCCAATTGTTGCTATCCACCACCGTAATAACGTTAAATCATAATTTCTTCTGTCAGTTTCATCGACTTAAAATAACATTTCATTACCTGATCTCAATGCTGGTACCAAGTAAAGAGGTTTGTCGAGGCTGACCCTCTTCTGTGGAACCAGGGTTTTTCTTACTAAGTTCTAAGGGGACATCGAAGAAAGGCAAACTGATCTGCTTCCCCTATTCAAACATTTTTTAGTTAACTCTTTTTTCTTGTCGTCCCTTTCTTTTCAATGGTGTCTTCCTAGGCACCAGTTTTCATATGACCTCGGCTGTTGTGAGGACGTTTAAACACAAACAAACAAAAAGAGACAACTCATCGACGAAAATGAAAATGCATATGTATATTGTTCTCTAGACCAGTTCTCAGATATTGCAGTAGGAATATTGTATTAATATAAAGAAGTATTTTGGTATAATTAAATATGTTGCGTACAAAAAGTGATAATGAACACCAGGGCTCGTTTGAATTCAGCCATTATCCTGCTCAGTTTCGTGTTCCGTCAATAAGTTATAAATTGGTCAATTTGTTCAGAGTGAATGAACGCCTAATACCTTATTTAAACGTGTTACAGGAGCGTAAGTGTGAACACAGAATTTATGCTTGGACACGAAAACTCCTTCCTGGATACGGGCCCAGATACAGTTCACGGTATCCCCAAGGAGGCCCTAAAAGCATACATATACATAATAATACACATGTGCACGCAAAAATATCACACATGGAGGCACGCCTTTAACTTGCCTTGGTGGTTGGTAGGACGTTAAACCATGTACAACCAACTCATTAACCGTTTATATGAACCCGTAACAAACAGTCATTGTATGTATGTAAACTTCTTCACTAAACATGCTCATTGTAGTGAAAAAATAGAACTTGTAAAGTCAATCGTACTACCGATAGAAGTTGAAATTCCTTAAATATTTGGTTTCATTCAATAAATTATATATATAATTTTTACTCTGATACTCCTTGAGGGTCAAACTCGAATACTCTGCTAGGACAGAATCCGATACTTCAATGGACCACAACCGAATTATCTGTAGAGCTTGATGCAAATAGTCTTTGAGGTTAAAATCGGATACAGAGTTTGGCCAGACTCGGGACGAACATAGTTTATCATACACTGTCGATAGAGGTCAGGATGACTTTCCTAATATTGAAAAAAGAAAATCGCATTTGTGTGTTTGTAGACCATTTTTGTCGTAATTGTATGCATTGCGCCTAAATGTAATATGGCGTTATACACATGATTGCTATTTTTTTATTGAGAGCTGTGAGCCGATTTATGTTTGTTTTCACTGTGTTTGGTTTTGTGTTTCTTTTCATTGGTAGTGTATTTAGGAAATTCCATTGAATTCTGTGGCAGCAAGACCACCAGATATGTTTGATATAGGTTGATATTGTACATTTGATTATCAATAGTGAATAACCAGTCATTCTTAGACAAGGGGGTCCCTGCAGGTAAGGCTTAAGAATTGTACCTGCTGCCTTTATTGCATGATCGTCAGAGGCGACTAAATTTTGGATCTTTTCCTTCTTCCTAATGTCTCCCTTGACAATGACTCACTTTTGGCCTTATTTAGTTGAGCGTTCACCCCTGTGAGGAAGGCTTTTGGTTCTGTCCCCGGCCGAGACATAACAGAGTCGGTAAAATGGTAGTTTCTACTCCTGCTTAACGCTCAGCAGTTTAGGAGTGGGACGACTGGTTCGCACGTTGTCAGTATAATGTGACCGGGTACGGTGTCCTGCTGGTTGTGTTCGGCAGTAGGTTTCAGTCAGGTAGCACTATACAGTCGGCTTCAGTTCCGCGCTATCACAAGAAGACAAACACGAACGTATCGCAGACTCCCAAAACACACACATACACTGCACGCATGCATCTTGCACACAGGGGAGTCCGTCCACAACGAAGTGGGGGATGGGTATACTGGAATCACTCTGTCCATCCGTGTGTCCGTCTGTCTGTCTGTAGACAAAACATTGGACCTCCTTCTCCTCCTAGATTTATGCATGGATTTTGATGAAACGTTACACATGTTTTTCCTCAAATGAATTTGTTTCTCCCAGAACTCCATTACGTTCCTTCAATATTTATTAGAGTTATAGCCATTGACCTCTGTAGACGGTAAATTACGTCACTGAGATGACTAATTATCTTGGAAACGGTAGATATTTTGTATACACATATACTTGGAATGTTGTAGGGATTAATCAAAGCTACTCCTCTGACAAATTCTGAGGTCATGGGGTTAAATGTCACGATTGAATTAGGTTACTGTAAATGAAAGCTACTCGACTGTCACATTTTTGAAGTGTTGGGATCAAAGGTCAAAGGTCACGCTACTGAAAAGGCTTAATATCTCGGAAACGGTAGGTATTTTGTAATCACATACACTTTGAAATATTGTAGGCATTAATGCAATCTACTCTATTTGCAGCTTCCGAGGTAGCGGGGTCAGAGGTCAAAGGTCACGAATGAATTACGTTACTGAAATAGCTAATTATCTCGGAATCAGTAGGTATTTTGTATTCACTACATATGAGAGTTTCGTAGCCAATTATGCAGGCTATATTGTGACAAACTTGCAAGGTCATATGTCACAGATGCATTATGTTACTGAAATGGCTAATTATCGCAGAAATGGTAGGTATTTTGTATAGCTACCATACCTTGGAGTAAACTTAACATTGATGCAAGCTACATTGTGACAAAATTCCGAGGCCATTGAGTCTAAGGTCACAGTAGTGGTGTTTGTTTTTTTCTATCGGTGTGTCGGTACGAAATCTAAGGTCAGACTTTTTCATTACCCTTGATTTTTCTATATATGTCTTCCCTTTTTTTATTAAGCCCGTACAGGGGCACAAGCAGCCGGAATACATTTATTATGAAAAAGGGCTACGAGGGGTCGTGCTGCAGTTGTAATCCGATTTTGGTGAAAGAGAAGTACATGAGGTAATAATGCGGGGGTTATACATTTTTTATTAAGCGCACGGGGGCTATGATGTGGGGATTTATCCATTTCTTATGAGAGAGCTACGACTACGAGTGGTTATGATGCAGGGTAAACACTTGCTTTTAAAAGAGAAGCGCGAGTGGTCATAAATTGGGAGTCTCATAGTAGAAGCGGATCGATATGTTTCGGTAATCCATTTCTTGTGAAATGGTGTATGATAGATTGTGACATGGTGGTAAGGTATTTCGTGTGAAAGAGGAGTATGATATGTCACGATTCGAAGGTAATCTGTTATTTGTGAAGGAATGATATAAAACGTCATAACGATGGAGTAACCCATTTCTTGTGAAAGAGGGGCGTGCAGGGTCATGATATCGTGGTTACCACTTCTTGAGAAGAGAGGTAAATAGTCATCATGTTGTGATAATCTTGTCCTCGTAAAGAGGGGTACATGTATGAGTGGTCATGATGTGGGATGATATAATTGGGGGGTTATCCATTTCTTGTAAAAAGACGGGTACGAGAGGTCACGATACATGGGTAAACCATTTCTTGTGAAAGAAGGGCATGATAGGTTTTGATGCAGTGTCACGGTAAAACATTTCAGGAACCCGGGGGAAAAATACTGGCATACTGGTACCCTGTAGGATTGACAAAACACACAACAGACCCCGCTTCGATGTCCTCTGTTACTCGTTGTCCGCTGAAGATGTTAAAGGGCGTCTTCATGACGGAATATCTAACTTTGTGACTTAAATGTCTTATATCTATTATTTAAATCTGAACCTGTCCTAGACCGACGAGCTTTCTTCGATTTCTTGAGAAAAAAAACTCAAATTGTTCTCGACTTCTGGAGTATTATCATACTGACAACACATGATAACGAATTTATCATGCTACCGGTAAGTGGCAAAATGTAGTATATAGATCATAAATAAATTAATAGAAATCTAAACTTGCCTTGTATTATGACATGAATCTATCACTTATTCTATTTGTCTAGTATTTTTTTACTATAAGTTTGGATCAGGTAGCTAATACAGATACTAACCAATGATAATGAAACTATAAAAAAAATAAAAAAATAATAATCTTTATTTAACGTCGTGTACAATTGTCAACAACAAACATAAGCTCTGTAGAGCTTTTATTACGACGCCGCTAAGATAACAAATGGATCCATTTTATATTAGATTAAGTAATGATATATATATATATTTGTATTTCAATTCAGTCATTATTACATATACTTGCCTAGTATTTTAATATTACCACAATCTTTTCATTGTATTACCTGTCTAGTTAGGCAGATCGCGCCGCAAAAGCAGCTCTATTGCTACCACCTATTAATGTTAAACTTAAGCTGCTCTATTGCTAACACCTGTTAATTTTAAACTTAAATTTACAGATTTAAAGCCAATTATAACAAAGTAAGGATCCCGGGGCCAAACTCATTGGAACCTATACTCTAGTATACCTGAAATCAGTGAATGGCATCCTAGTTACAAAGAGAAGCATCGACACGCGGTCATTCATACATATCTTTTTGTTATTTATTGAAACGTGAAGACTAGCTGCAACGCACAGCATCCAAAGAACCATTGGCAGTAATACAGTTGTTATTAAATTTCGTCGACCTTCAGACAAATTGAGATTTTTTTCGAGAAATACGTAACATGTCTTTTATCTGTTTTTGTTACAATAACTGTTTCTACAATATACCTATTTGAAAGCTGATGTTTTTCCTCAACCATATTAAATCACCACAGGCACATTTAATATTCAAGTTGACTTTTGTCATCTAATTTTAAGTTCGTTTGATATCATTTTCAGTTTGCATTTTTTCCCAACATTTGTTGAGCATAATGAGTTATGCGTTGATTGTCCGTTTAGCATGTAATAATGTAATGTAATTGATGTTGTATCAATCACGTAATAAGAAAAGAAAACCAAACAATGATGTTCATCAGTGCATAGGTTTATTAAAGTTTTGTCCTCTGAAAAAATTCTTGTTTTCCTTTCTTACTGAAGAATAGAAACAACGTTTTCAGTGTATTTTCTATATATATACACACATATATATATAATTTACAGCTAGTGGAATGTAAACAAAACTTCTATAAATAGCACTGATGTCATAGAACACACTTTATACCACGTCATCTTTCTCTAGAAGATTGTGACGTCACGTTTCTAATGTCTAGCTGTGGTAAACAAAGAGGAAAGGAATTGGCCCAAAATGTCATTATCATCTCAGACTGACAACATGTAGCAAAGTCATAATAAAATCAAAAGAGGGAGCACAAATGCGACAATGTTTTCTTTCAAGCTAGTTGTTTGGAACTTTTAGGCGTTTGATGTCATTTAATTTTAATTTTACAACTTCATAAAATAGCAAAGATGTTTGAATGGTATTATATTTTAACAATTGTTTCCCGAACTTTAATAGTAATATCACGACAATCAATGAATAGTTCGAAGATAACACGCCTCGTTTATAAATTACTAACAAGCCTATTAATAAATAGAAAGAACAAAATCAATAGTTCATATTTATAACCGAGCGCCATAAACCCTTTAGCACATTGTTGTGACATTATTTCACATACAAAATTCTTGAAAGAGTTTCTCAAGATCAAAAGCATTTACAACAAATTGAAAGTTGCAAAAATAGGAAAAGAGAATGCATCGATGCAGAATGTTGTGATGGCAGTAACTAGCAGACACGCCACCACAGGTGCTAACTTTTACACCAGACTTTTGGTTAGTTCGGTTTTACTGAATGCATAGGAATGACAGGATAGTGATTAATAACAGTAAAAGATCTCATATTGTATATGTACGGTATTTAGGCCATATTTGAATTCAGGTGAGTAGTATATACCTATGTATATATTATAACTGAGTGATAGCACTAAGTTTTCAGAGTTACCTACCCATTGTTGTATCTGTATCTGTATACTTTATGAACAGCCTCGGATACGTTGGAGGTACTATTTGAAATAAAACAATATAATCCTTATACAATTATCATTTCATTATGACAATAGGTACAATGAGAAAAGTAAGTTTTGTGGTTTTTATTTAGTTTAGATGACAATAGGTATAGAATACCTTGTGCTCCAAAAGGAAACAACATTAATGAAGGATTGGTGGTTGAATGAATAAGTTATGATTTTTGGCATTTTTAAATGCATTTAAATTATTATTTAATAAATAATAACTATAAATATATCAACAGGAGTTATCTATATTGTGTGTAATACTTGACTTTGCTCCATGTGCCGAGTGATTAGATTGGTTGTACCATGAGCATGCGTAGTGAAACAATAACATGTTAAACGTCACTTCCGTCAGTTGTTGCATAATGAGGGGATAAAAGCTTCCTCGTGCTGTTATATTACCTCCATTTTGCATACAAATGTATACGAATAATAATCAGTTTTAACATTTTTGACAGAATCATCTAAGCAATTATTATATTTAAAACAATCCTCAAGAAAAAAAGAAAAAAAATGTTATTTACCTGTCGTTTGAAAAAACGTATAGTCAGTATATGGTCACTGTAAAACAAAATTATAGTAAAAACGAAGGACAATTGTTTATCAATGGGATATGCAAAGTGTTGTAAATGATGATAAAGCATTTGGATGCTTACGTATGCTCGTTCATTATGTATGTTTCTGTCCTCTCCTTGAAAATCTACGATAGACACTCTAAACTAGAAGAAAAATTGAAAGATTGAAAAAGGGATGCATAAATATACATATATACATATATGTATAGATAAACGACATATATATACATATACGTACATTCTATGAAGATATTTCTGACAGTTAAATTCAAAATTAAACAATATTTACAAAACAGCAATACTATAATTTAATAAAGGTGAAACCTGTTTAACATATGAGCTTTTGCCCACAACCACGCATGCGCACACAGTCACACAAATGTATGATAGACACCAATGTTTTTTACACGCATACCTCACACAAATGTCATAACGCGCGCCGATAATAAACGATCAGGTACATGTAGAACAAACCTGGTAATTTTGGCGTTAAGTTTCTAACCACTACATATTTGTGTCTGATTTGTATTAAAAGTAAAAAAAAAAAAATCCAATGTGCCTTTAAAGTGTGTAGGAATGACATTTGAGGGACGTGGTAAATCACGCATGCAAACCCCATCCCTCTAATCACGCCCACCTAGCTAATACCCAATCACAACAACACACTTCTCATCAACGGAGCCAATGAGCATGGTGAATGATAATCAAGACACATTGTTCGCGTTGCCCAGCAACTTGTTACGCAGGATATCACTAATGATGCAAATATGTAGGACACAACCCACCGCACTGCATTATGGGTGATTACCGATAGAAGAGGACATGCATCTTTACATCGACATCTGTCATATATAACTAAATCTAAACAATTCTACTTTAGTCATGATCATACATTCGAAGTCGTGTCTTTATATCTATATGAAACTAGATACTGTATACTTTCCTCTACATATTATACTCTTCGAGATAGAGGATACTACACAGAAGTATAGCATAGCAAGATGCATAGATTTAGACCAACTGTATCGTATGCATTGTATGATCGAATACAGTTTGTTTATAGTCAACATAGAGTTGGTATTTCACTTGGTTATGTTTCATGAAAATAGGTATATACTCGAAATGTATTCGAAGAATGGTCATGCATAATTTTCGCAAAGGTGGACTAAATGAAAATTGTCTTCAAAATTTGCTGACGAAAATGTGGATATAATATCTAAGTTCAGTTCCAACAAAACTGTATGCAATCATAAAGATTGCACATACAGATCTTCAAACTTGACACATGATAACTTTCATTTCTTGTAATTCAACAAGCATGGTGACGTCATAATATTCACAACCAAGCCACGCCTCGACGACATGGATACAACGACCACATACAATGCATATGACGTCATCTATTCAAATTCACTTCTCGAAACAGATGTAAAATATTGTTATGTAATTGGAAATTTGGAATAATATTTAGTATTTGTAAGATTTGTTAACGTAAATAGGAATAATATTTTTTTTTTTTTTATATTTGTAGTTTGTAAAAGCAAATTAATTCAAAATTCATTTTTGTTGACGAGTTACCAATGATATTTAAACAGCAAAATAAACATCAGGTTTTATAACTTATTGAGTAATGACTTATTGATTATGATAAAACAACTCAGAAACCCTTTTTTGCCTTTTTGTTCTAATTAAATGTGTTTGTGAAAATATTCCGAAATCAATGTGATTCCGTAAAAAGTTAATTATGAGCATGCATGTATTTTCCCGCCGGATTAAAGTTTATCTGTTACACTTTGTTTGTAAATGAAAGCAAATTCTTCAAAACTTCTTTTTACCAATTAGCATTTCCTTTTGCATCAGTTTTCTAGTTTCATGTGACATATTTGTCATATCATTTTTATGGTATCCTCCTTGCCCTCATAGAGGCATTTGTATATTGTCTTCCATGTGTGGTTTTCGTACACGCTTCTCTCAATCACTCAAACTTATGACGTCACGTGACGTGACCAAAACAATAACACGCAATTTGAACGTACGTTGGTTTAGTATATATTAAATTACTCTCCGACATAAAGTGTTATAATAACAAGTAAAATGTGTTTCAAATACTATAAATGACGCCCATGACGTCACAGGTTCGGTGTTGTTGCCATGGTAACAAGATGGGCGTTTTCATCACAGTTTGCTTCAACACCTCGACCCGAAACTCCTACCAACATCAACATTTACTATTTAAATTATAAACTTTCAGAATAATAAACATGCAATTAACAATCAAAACATATTTCAAACATAGACTACGGGTATAAAACTGACATGTTATATATTTGAAATATTTAACGAAAAATATACCAGAATCGTGTCAAAATTTTACAAGCTTGAATTGAACATAGGAAGAAAAAATAATCAGGATTTTAATTCCATATAAATCCCCACTTTCTTCTGATTTACATCCCTTTTTTACATTGTCTGTATTAATATTATCCTCTTTGTCAAAATCATGAAACGGAAAATAGCAACAATAATATTATGTTATTTATAAATGTTTTGCAAATTAATTGATAACTGATTTCATACCTTCTACGTATATTGGCAAATACATCTTGTTTAGTAAAACACATAGTTTAATATATGATTTTTCTTCTTTTGCAAAAATGTTTTGAAATATAATACAAGTAGCAAAATGTGGAGTAATTGTTGAGATGGTGAAACCAAAAACCATACAAGTCTTAAGCAAGATTTGCTCTAGATGAGTGAGATAATGTTGCGATGTATCGCTACTGCAGACCACCATGTTGATGATTAGAGGCCACGATAGATTCACAGGTTCCAGTTCTTTGGTAGGTTTTCTTTTAGGCATTCTACTATTAAAGTTGGACCTGGCAAGAACCCAGGAAGGATGCAGAAACCCTCCAGGGTCACACCCGCCTCCCGGCGACCCTCGGTACGCATGCGTAGTCACACTATACATGCACGTACAGCGATAAGATAAGTTGGACGGTGACTTTTGTTTGCCCGTAAATTGTTTCAGCGTCTACTTTACAAAATGTTCTTTTCGAATTCCCGGTGTTTGTACAGATTCACGGCGCTTACCCGAGAAACAAGTTACTATTGGCGATTTCCTGATTTGCTTGATGCCACAACCTCTATCTCGCTTACGTTCAAACTTCCGTTTCCATACACGAGTTCCGAACAGAACCGTTCGGAAAGGAATTGGCCATTAAAGTTTGGGCCATTGCTTGTCCATCGTCTTGTGTTTCGGAGAGCGAATAGTACTGGATTTTCACAAGTTTCAGGAGCCTCGATGCTTCTAGTCAAACGTTGCTATTGTCATCACTTATCTGGTTCGCATGCTTTATTAAAGGTTTATTCCGGTAATGGTTCCATAGTTGCAAAATGATTTCTGACACCAACACATCATTAGCGTTTTTACCCACGAGTCTTAACACAAAAATGCCGTCCTGACGCAGGTACTGTTCGGCAAATTTCACCGCCATCTTTTTATCAAGTTCTGATTTGTAGCAATCATTGATGCGTAGAAATTTCTTTAGATATCGAATGCGATGTTGTCTAAAGATCATTGTGTAACACCACACCAGAAAATTGGCAGAACTTAGCACAGATACAAACACTAGCCAGAACCAGATGAAAATAAAGATTTTTTCGTTAAAAAGGTTGATTGGTAGAACACACTGAACAGTATAATCTTGAACTGTTGCCAGTTTTCGAATTCTAAAATCACACAATGTAACTCGAGGGAATCTTGGCGACTCCTTCCAGTCTATCCCGTTGGCTAGATGATCAAGAACCTCAAGTCCGTAAGCATTGTAATTCGTCCCGAGGAACTCATTTAATATAAACAATTGCCCGATAGCATTAGACATGTACAATAATTTTATAAACATATATATTGTGACCAAGTAGTTCCCATAGCGTTTGCCGCACACGATACAACAGTACTTTGATATGGTTTGGCGCAAGCGTATAAAACACCCTGATCTGTATTCACGTGCATTTTCAAGCCACCTGTCCATGTAGCGTACGATATGTTTGATAGTTCTTTCTCTGTCGTCTGGAGATATGTATTGAGTTTCTGCGGCGAGAGTTACAATCTTATCCAGATTTACACCAGCCGAGGCTGTCAATATGCGCCATAGTATGCATGGCACCTTAAATAGGAATGCCTGGAATAGGAGAATCATAGGAACCCACTGATAATACGTGATTTCCCGCTCGGTGCGAACCGCTCGTTCCTTGGGTATATCGTCATCAATATGTACGTAGTACGTATTAGATATCCAGCAGACGTTGTTTGTGTAATCAACCATGGAGTCTTCGAATTCCGCCGGACACCAACAATGGATCGGCTCTCCCACATACTGCTTTGTGCTGACGACTATGGTGAAGATGATAAAAATGATGGTGGTGTACAGATGATTTAGACGATCGATCCAGTCATCGTCGTAGCGACCCTTCAACCGTGCATAGGTGGCGAAGCTCCCCAGAACACTGTCAAGCCTGAAACGACAAAGGAGATTATCATTAAGTTTAAATCAAAACTAGATTGTACAAAATTGATAACACAAACTTAAATACATGCAGCGCCAAGGAAAGAAATTCGAATAACAGATGAACACATATTACACCCCACTATCCAATATTGTGTACAGGAAAGTTACTCAAACAGATGCATAGCTCTTATTTGGATATTGCGAAAAGACTAAAAATATCATAGTAATTGCTTCGTCAAGATTAAAAACGAACCTAAATATTTAATGAGACAATAAATATCATTACGTTGGCAAAAAACGGGATGATAACTAGTCTTATACATCAATATTGAATATAATTATAGTTATGTGTATTAGCGAAGGAAATTTCAGAATGATAATCTAAAATCAAATTGTCAAAAACTAATATAAGTAAATTGATTTTTAACTGAACACATTTTTGCTCATCCAAGTATTATTTATTCATTATTGAAAGAGAGTTAGTTGTTTTGTCAAACTTTATCAATAGCTATTAAGATCAAACAGTTGTTTATCCTTGATATCCATTACGTTTTATTGATCTCTGTTATTCTAAGTTTGTATACTTTAGAGGTTAAACGCTGATAATGCACGCTTTGGTAAATACAATCGACGATCTCCATCCCCTGGGGTCTTATTACAACATGAACCACCCAGATCGATAGCTAACCCCTTTTAACATAGAAATAATTCCCTAAAATGGCAAAAGAAATCCATTGATAGCTTTTACGTAACCATATCGTAACTGAACTGAAGTTTACATATGAGTTCAATACACCATGCACATGTGCAGTGATCTCGTTCTATTGGTCTGCCTCTATGCAATGTTTGACATTCGTTAATGTATTGAATGCAGCCAAACAGAAAGGGGGCAGATTTCAGTTAACGACAATAAGTTCATCGAAATGACACTTAATTCATTTCTTGATCAGCCAGTGTTTTTTTATCAGCAGCAGTTTTTCTTTATCTATACTATTAATACAGGAATTCAATGTTCACTGCTGCATTCAACATCCGTTATAGGGTCCTATCACAGCAAATGTTACAGAGAGACTGCATGATGTGTATAAGAAAACGTTTGTAAAATTATATTGTATTGTCTTATATTGAATCTACATGACAAACATTGGAATATTTAAATTTGGCGGAAGCCGGATACTGGTCACGAAATACAGCGATCAAATTATCAGCTGTATCATCACAATAAAAGAACTGCACCTGTACGCATCCGGTAGACCCACCCCGAGTGACGTTATCGTTAAAGGTTGGTCATTTATCTGTATACCTTGTTTATCAATATATCTTGTTCGACGAGGAAGGGATTGTTGTGGACAATCTCTATACAAGAAGAAATCATCTTCGATCGATATTGTAATTTTACGACCGGGAAATACCGGGTGTTATTCCATGAATAATTCACTCTCTTCTAACAATGAAATCGGTCGGTTCCTAATATAAAGCCGTCAATGTGAGGCGTTGACGGGGTGAACGCGCCGGTTCTCCATACTTCACTATCTTGCAAAAAGAGGCCTCCCTTACAAGCAAACTACCTAATATAAACCCGTTCCGACCCCACATTTTCATTTTCAATCATATTCCACCTCAATGCCTTTACAATACAATTAATTGATGTGAGCTGTTGTATAATTTTGTCAGGTTTGATTGTTGTGTTACGACCAAGGAACACGAAAGGTCATGTGGGTTTGAATGTGTGTTAATAAATAATCTGAAACAAACAAATATCAAAAAAAAGCATTGGTCGATGGCGTAAGATCAAGCATCCTCCCTAGTTTACCACTTTCACTCAATTTCCATCTTTGAAAAATGAAGACAAATGCTCACTATGCTATATGGTTTATATAACAGCGTCAACTACAAGACCATATGATTTATATCACTTTAAATGAGCTAAAATTGACTGTGAGGTCATTGAAATAACCATTTTGTGACGTCACTTAGAATGTATAAATTAGAATTAATGATATCAACTCATGACATACATGTAACATCCACATAAAGCCTTATTATAGATTAAAGTTAATTGCAGCTGACATGACAACGACTTAAAGTGTTGACCATTCCATGATGGATAGAACTGTAGACAAAATTGACATTTGACCTTAGGGAAAACTATTGCAGTTTCTTTACAAGATCGTAGTCTACAACGTTGTATTGACCGAAGCTTCATTGTGTATTTAACTGCCGGCAGTGAAGTATTGCCCTCCCTTTCCACGGTCAATTAAATAAACTCCCACGCACAACCACTGCACCTTCAACATGGCTATCTTAGTCAAACTTCCCATTGTTGTTTTTTTATTCTCTATTTTATCGACAACCTAATGCTTGACAGAAATAATTGACCCCTATCTAGTAGCACTCCTTGAGCTTTTTGATCCAGCATCCGTCCCACTCCTTTTGCAGAGCGCTTAAGCATCATAAAACATGCACCATTACTACAGCAAACCTATTGTTACGCCATTAAAGTGTTCATGCCTCCAGTGTTGATGATTAGGTTGTCAATGGGTGTACAATTATACTGGCTCGATGTACACAGCTTATTATTTTGTTACAGGGCGGGTAAATTAATACTAACTTTGAAAATATTTTAAAATACCAACTGTCATTCAAATTCTAAAATTGATGGTTAAATCTTCATCAACAGGTAAATAGTCCTTCTTCTTTCTGTGCTTAACATTTCAGTAACACCAAGTAACCATTTCTTGGTTGAGTGAAAATAATACCATATCAAACTAAACTAAATTCCGTAACACCAAGTTACCATGTCCTGATAGTGGTTGAAAGAAAATAACATCTGTATTACTAAACAATTCCATATCTTTAAGGTTCAATAAAATGAAGCCAACTCAATTCATAGAAAGGAATAAAAAGTATACGGACAAAAATAGTCACGATGATTGCTATTGAACGACCATGATGCTCTTATATGGTAACATCGGAAATATCAATGAGAGGTTTTCAGTGCATAAGGTTTAAACTAATGAACGTTTCGTATTCTTAAAAACAATGCTTTATAATAATGTGCCTCGTTATGACGTTTTCCGGTGTTAATGTAAAACCGGTATATACATTACAATGCTAATTTGCATATTTATTTTCGATTTAATCTTTCTGTATTTAGTAACGAACACAAACTAGTCAAACTGCTGCTTACAAAGACCATTTTTAATAGGAGTGGGGAAAATTAGTCATAAGTCATTAATAAAGATCTAGTTCGGTTGTAATAATGTGATGCACATAACAATAATGTGCTATCGATATAAATAATGAAGTTGTTTTTTTCTGCGTGATAAGTGATAAGTTATTTATAGTGGTATTCATTTCTTCATTATATGGTTTTAAGCTCATTCTATCATAGCAATTCTTTAAAGTTTAAACAAGACGATTTCAAAAGGATCTACAGTATAGGTACAACATGGAGATTATCTAAGAATAAATTACGTATATTAATGAATGCTGTTTCCCTGAAGCACACAATGTATCAATTTTACAGTTGATTTTCATGATTTCTGGTCTCAATTACAAACTAAAGGAATATCAACGATCTAGACTGTATGGTGACCATGAGATTGTTAGTAACACACTATATTGCGAAGCTTTATTAAATATTTACTGGTACAAAGTGTAGGAGGTGGTCCTCTCACGACTTCATAAGGGACATGGAATTTTACTTATAGGTATTCTTATACATGATGATCAGCCCCTTAGTTATTCATGTTGCGTACATATGAATGTGCTGCACATATTGATAGAATGTGACGAGTTAAGGTAGACTCGAGACAAATAGTGTTATGTGCATGGTATACAAAATGTTTTGTTCAATTTATTTGTCAACTATTTTGAATATCTACGTGTACTGTGTATGTAGATTTAAACCTTTTACCAACCATGTTTATCGGTGTATTCATTTGTTTTGTAAGTGCCCTGTATTCTAATCTCCGACCTGATAATACTTTAAAGTTGCTTGGCCATAAAGCAACTAACTAACATATTACAGTGTTATATACACAAGTATTTAAACATTCAAGTAAACTAATCACCAGGTCGTGGTTGTTAAAAGTTTAAACTTCAAATGCAATTTTTGTGAAATATATGAAAAAGAATTTCAATAAATTTGTGTTTCTTGTCTTCAGAAGGATAATTTTGAATCTTGGTAAGTAAACTAATTTCGAAACCTTCATCTCTTAAATATGTACTTGACGGAACGTTTGTATGGTATTGGCGTAAAACTCTTGTTGAACAAAATAGGTCGATGAGCGAGTCATTTGTTTATCCTACTTATATTTTTCTATAATGATGCTTTGTTGCAGATTTCGAAATAAGAAGTCTTTATATGTTTTATATTGTATTGAAAATCATTGTTTCTTATATGGCTGATAAGTATTAAAAAAAACAGAACTCGTACTGTAAGAAATCAATACTCTGGATTACAGCCTACTGTTTACTTTGTAATGCGATATTATAACGAGATTTCCCATTATGACACATATAATTGTTTGACATTACTGCACACGTTTGGCAATGTCTTCCACCGACCTGCCTGTTTTATAGCAGGACTCCGCCTCGTTATGACGACTTCTCTGACTCGGTCTTGCATCAGAGTAGCTCGCCTATACAATTTTATATTGAATTTTGATGAACATGCGTGTGAGGTATGGTAGGATCGGCAGTCTTGGAAAACATATTGCTGTGTCGATTAGCTTTCTAGGTTAGACTTGGTTCTCTGCATGTGGCATTCTCGACTGGTCGATCGATATTCAGAGACAGATTTATCCTGAACGCTATCAAAACTGTAACACGGTGCCATCATTCTATAATAAGCATGTACCTTATAGTAGTGTATTTTCTGTACTTAGAATTACCATAGTTGTAATAAATGTAGTTTTCATGTGTGTTTTCTTTAGCACGAACGGAACGATGTAACTTGGTCGTCCACTACATGTACATACATTTCTTACGGTAAGATACTTG